TGGTGCGGGTGCGGGTGCGGGTGCGGGTGCGGGTGCGGGTGCGGGTGCGGGTGCGGGTGCGGGTGCGGGTGCGGGTGCGGGTGCGGGTGCGGGGGCGGGTGCGGGTGCGGGTGCGGGTGCGGGTGCGGGTGCGGGTGCGGGTGCGGGTGCGGGTGCGGGTGCGGGTGTGTGTGTGTGTGTGTGTGTGTGTTTGCTTGTGCGTGTGTGTTTGCTTGTGTGTATTTGTTTGTGTTTGTATATATGTGTTTTGCGAGTGTGTGTTTGCGCGTGCGGGAAACCTTGGGTTCGGAGCCCCAAGCCAGGACCTCCCTTGAACGGTGCGCCGCCCCCCCCCGAGCTGCTATCCCGGACGCGCCCAGGGCTCGGAGAATGCCCAAGAGCGCTCCAGGATCAGCCGCGATGCTTTTCAGACGGCCCAGGAGATCTCCGACACTCCCGAGACAGCCCCCAAGAGGGCCGAAGAGAGCCGCCAGGGGCCGCCAGGAGGCCCCCGGGAACCACGAAGCTTACAAAAACCAATCGTAAATCGACGATTTGGGAGTTCACCCTTTCGCCTCCGATGCGCCTCCGAGGCTTCAACCTAGCCCCCAAGACGCTCCCATGAATCACCCAAGAGGCGCCCGAAACCGCCCCAAGAGGCCCTGAGAGGCCCGAAGAAGCCCCCGTCACGCCCTCAGAGGTTCCATAAGGCTCCCGAAGACGCTCACAAGAGGCCAAGAGGCACACAAGAAGCCTTAGGCACCCACCAAGAGGCTCCCCAAAGGCCCCTCGAAGCCTTTTTCGCTCAAGAAGACTTCACATTTTTTGGATCAATGCCATTGTCGCTTGCGACGGTGCAGCAGTCCTGTCAGAACTGTTCAACTGCGTTTGCCGCCCGCGGGCTTGCCATGTGCGTCACAGTGCTCTGTGCTGCGTTCTCCGCATTACGCCACGGTGTCTTTGCTACGTCCATCTTTTTGGGCGGAACAGGTCTTCAGATCGATATCGACATGTTCCTGTTTTCGCTTTGCGTTCTCGGCTACTTCGTAGATGCCCGTTATTGGAAGAGCACGGAAGGAATCACAAAGATGAACAAGTTGACCGCCGCAAGATCTTTGATCGGCAAGGTGGTTTTCGAAGGCGGGCGCGAAGCTTGGCACTCAGTCGACGCCGAGGAACCTGCATCGCGTAAGGAAGTAGGTATTGATGATGACAACCACGAGGGTTCAGGGGATCAGCTTGGACATGAAAGACTCCGATGGAAGTCCGACATGCATATTATCAAGTGCGCGCAGAGAGATGGCGTGGTCCACAAGCTCCCGAGTATGCTGAAAGTGGTGCATGCCGCCATCAGACTTCAACACGGAGGAGCAGCCGTGACGCTGTTCGACCAGATGTTGGAAAAGGGGGCCGTTCCTGGTGCACACGTCATTCACAAGGCCGTGTCAAACCGTTTCTTCGAGCTCGTCGCCGAAGCTCTCGATGGCGAACGCATTCGAATAGACGGATTGCGACTT